ATAAAAAACAGAGAATATCATAAATCACACATTTGTCAACATGCATTTGATAATTGCCATAAAATTCAATGGAATAAGTCCACAATTTTAACAAAAGAACAATCCACAAAAAAACGTAAAATTAAAGAAAGCGCACTAATTTTACTAAATCAAAATAATTGTGTTGCTTCATGTTCATTTAATTTAAGTCATACATGGTTACCTATGCTAAAATCTGAAGTAAACCAGAGAAACATACACCCAAATTAAATTTACACCAAAATTATTAATTAACATTACCTTTATTAATTTAAACAATGAGATTAAGTCAAAGCCACATAACTGACAATTTGCACAGACGAATTATCAGAGCGAATATAGCCTCAACAATATAGAACTTATCAACAAAGAAAAACAATGATGCTGAATCAAGAATCTACTCATAAATGAATGTAAACAAATCGCAGCTCTGAAAATTTTGTGAACAAAACTTAGATTAAATACTAACATTATTTGCATCCTCTCGCTTAATATCAATGTCCAAAATAGGCTTGATTTCCAAGAGAAACTGTATATTCTCTGCAATCAATATAAATCTGTTTTCTCTTCCTTATAAGTGCACCAACTTTAGCAATGAATTTGTCAGCTTTGTCTTTACCATAAAGTCTGCAAAGCATTAATAAACTTTGCACTTTCACTCATTTTTATTGTCGATCCTGAATCAATAATTTATATAGGTAGTTCCATAAATCCCGTCTAGAACCGTAAAACCTACGAAATAAGCTCGTAAACTAGCTGATGTATATTGGGGGGTTATTCATATTGAAATTGACTTTCTTCAGTTGGCAAACCACGCGGTAACTATGGGGTGGGTGAAGGAACGTGAAATAAATTTTAACAAGTTTGGTCGCTTTTCCGGCGACAAATAGCGCAAAAGGGAAATAGTTTGAAATTTATCAAAGAACTACGGCAAAGCATTAGCTGAACTTTGGATGTGGAGGATTTAGCCGCTAGGCAAGCGAATTGACCCTGGTTGAACCTTTTCCCATAAGGGTTTTCCTAACATTTTCAATGCGCCAGTGGAAAATTTGATTTAAAACAAAATTTCTATAAACCCGTGCCAACCATCCAAATTGAAAAAAGAAAATCATTTCGGGCAATGATGGAAATGGACTGTTAACGTTTCATGTCCATGCAACGAAAAGAGACATTTTCGTGAAAATCTCCAGTGTTGCTTTTCAAGCGTTCATCTTTTGTTGCATCCATCAATTTTGCCTTGGGCCTTATGAAAGTGAGCATCAATTTACCGGCAAGCTCTTCGTAGGATACACAACATAAAGTACGGGTGTCTTCGTTGTAAAATTATCAATAGAAAGCGAATTCAATGGATAGTCATATATCACGGAAGACGGGAAAGGGATTCGCGTTCGCATCACTCATGTTGATACAGACCTGCCGTTAAAAAACCATTCTTTGTCCTTAGATTGTAAAAGATTTATCTGCGATTTTTAGTGGGCTCCTCTTGGAGAATATCGTTTTGCTTATTTTCGCGTCCGAAAGAGGTTCAAACGTGAGCAACTGGAACACCATCACTTAAAAATATGAATTTGTAACTGGAATGTTATAATTCGAATAGTCAGAGTCAATCTGCTAAAAAATGAACATATAATATATTAATTGAAGTTTAGATATTCTGTTATTCTGGTAGAAAATAGAGAAGGACTGCTTTAAAATTTCAGATTCAAAGAGTTGAAGTCTGTATTCACAATTTCTTTTATTTGATTGTTTCGCACTTCTGCTCTTACGCTATTGATCTTTAAATAAACTCTATCCTCAAAACCTTTAATATGTCGCGTTCTCTCCTCAACATTTGTATGTAATTTAATGTGTTTCCATACACTTCTCACCTTCAAAATATTTTTTTTCTAGTGTTCAGTATAATCTTCTTGATGCCTCACTGAGCTTGCATTTTATATTCTTCCTTACCATCTACGATAACACAACTTTTGAAATGCGACATTCATATCAAGATCAGGGTCTTAAAACATGCTCCAAATTCATATCTTATTCCATTCCATATTACCATTAAATATTTACCATTAAATAAACACTTATTATTTCAAAATTGTCAAGACTATGTGGGATTTCTTTAGTTTCCTTAATCGTGAGAATGGCCCGCACGACAGAAACAGTCGACGATTTTGGTCCAGGAAAAAAGCTTTCCAAAGGAAGCAAAAAGTTTCGTTTAGGACGGAAACATAGCTTGATACATGGTCGACGAAGCACTTTTTGTTTCAGAATGATAAACATGAAGGAAGCGGTTGATATAGCCAGCACATGCTTCCCTCAGGATTTCTTAAGACAATTCTGTTCGAAAAATAAAAATGTTCAGCGACTGAAAGAGTACACACTTTCTCAGATGATTTCGGATCAAGTTTCAAACACAAGCAGAACATGAAGAAATTTAAACTTTATTATTGTTTAAATTGTTAAATAAGTTTTTTGTCTGTAATTGCAATATAAAATAACCAAAACTTGTAGGCTCCTTTATAGAAAGCCATGTTTCCATATAACTGATTTTATCCAAGTCGGTATACAAATTGGATCAAGTCGGGAATTCAAAATCGAGCAATTTCCCGCGACATTTCGCTATCGAGATTTCCCGTTTCCCATTAAATTAGCAATTTGGGTGTTGGTCAAAATTCCATTAAGATCCCCGCATTTCGATTATAAGACTTGAAAAATAGGCACCAATTATTTTTGTCACTCTCCTTAATGCGTCCAATGAAACATTCAAGGCTGAAATTTAGGATGTCAGTAGGACCCTTGTCCATTTCGTAGCCGATTGGGTCAAGGTTTTGAAATTTAACCTTCGGTAAAGACTTTCGGCTAAAATGAAAATACTTTTTTCGATCCCCGAATTAAGTGTTCTTGTTTTTTACTCAAAATGGCCTTTACACATAAAAAACTCCATTAAGTGAAATGGCATTTTCTGCAATCGTTTGTCCTGCTGTCTTCAGATCCCAGCAATTCCCATTCCGGGAATACGCCACTTTATGTAGGTATGTAAGCTTCTCAGATTTTTATCGTTTTTTTTTCTGGAATTCACGTTACATTTGGACGATTGGAAGTAATTTGGCCAAATGCCCCTGAAAATTACCTTATTTGGTATGCGCAAAGCATTGGAATAAAGCGCTTAAAGCACAATTGGCGCTTTTCCATTATTGGCTGACATTAAAGTTTTCCAGGTATTTTTCACCACAAAATGAAGACGCGCCTTAAAAGAATTAGAACTTCTCAACTCGAACCGATGGAATTCTGAAATTTTGCATGTTTCCAGGAAAACCCCTTCCCTTCCCCTTAATTATAATTTTATGATAAAATAATGATAATAATTTCAACAAACTAGGAGAATCTATTGAATTTGTAGACATTTTTGAAACTTCTTCGACGGTGTTGTACGTGCGCAGCCCTGCTAGAAAAACCTGAGAAAACTAGCGAAAGTTTGCATATCTCTAGAAACGCTTTTTACTAATAAATGTAAGGAATTTTAATGAATTTCGAATACCAGTTGAATTTCTGGACACTTTCTAAACTTCGCGTTTAAAAAAGGCGTAAGGGTGTCGGGTCTGTCTTAAAAAAATGGAAATTTCGAAAAACTTGAACTGATAGAGCACTGAAAGTTTGCGTATCTCTAGAAGAGCCTTTTGCTATTAACTGTGGAGACGGAGGAAAATTTCAATGAATTGGAAGTTAGTCATTGAATTACTACAAATTTTCGAATATTCTCTTTGTCACAAAACATGTAATACTGTCTTTTAAAAAATAGATCTACGAAACTAGAACCGATTAAACTTTTAAATTTTACCCATTTCCCGAAAAATCTATTGCATTTTTAGAAAAATCGGAAACTCCTTTTGCGCTGTCTCAAGCGCACAGTCCTGTCTTAAAAAACTGAGAACTTCCAAACTAGAACCAGATGGAATAGTGAAATATTGCATATATATCTTAGTGTGCCCAGTACGAATAATAATTAATTAATTAATTTGCAACCGTGGTTAAATTTCGCAAAATTGCAAATATTCTATTTCGTGTCAGTCACAAATCTTTATGCTGGTCTTTTAAAAGGTAGAAATTCCAATCACAAAATTGTGGAACTCTGAAATTTTACAGATTACTAAGAAACATTTTCCTAAAAATTGTAGAGAATTTCAAAGAATTCGGAAAACGTATTGAATTTGTTGAAATTTCTTATACTTCTTTGACTGTGTTGTGCGAGACGAGAACTTCTAAACTCGAACTGCTGGAACAGTGGAATTTCACATCGTTCTAGAAAAGCTTTTGGTTAATGACGGTGAAGAAATTTAATAAATTCGCAAAGCCCCTTAATTTTCTGAAAATTTTCGAAAATTGTATTTGATGTCCACAAATGCGCAGACCTGCCTTAAAAAATTGAACTTCCAAATTCGAACCGGCGGAACTAAAATTTTGCATATTTCTAGAATATATGTCTTTTCTTCGATAATTTTAGATCATTTCAATTAATTCGAAAAACCTACTAATTTTTTACAAAATTTTGGAACTTTTCCTACAATGCTACAAGTACACAGCCCTGTTTTTCAAAAAAGAGAACTTGCAAACTCGAAAAGATGGGATAGTTAAATTTTGCACACTTCTAAAAGAGGCTTTTCGAAATAGCCTACGAGACCTTAAATAAATTAATTCGCACCAATTAAAGTCCCGCCAAATTTCCAAACTTCTCTTTGGTGTCTGTAAAAAGTGCGCACATCTATCTTAAAATAATAAAACTTCCAAACTTAAACCGAATGAAAACGTTAAAAACATTTTGTAATTTTAGTGATAACTGATAAATTATTTAACCAGTTTATTACAAGCTCTTTCCAAACTAAACACGTATTTAGACCCCAGATGATGTTTTAAATTAAGATCTTGCGTGCCCTATTAAATGAGTAATTAATTTCAATTTGGGTCAAAAAGTAATTATGATTCATAGGGAATTCATCGGTTTTGTAGGCCGCGAGAATATTGAGTAGATTCGCGTTATTAAATCGAGCCTCCAATTTTGATATTTTGATAAATTCAGCAGGGCCCCCGGCTGAAATTAATAAACTTTCGCAAAAGAAATTATTCACTAATTAATAGTAAAATGGTTCATCAAATGAACATGCTCAGAAAGCTAATAAAGTTGACAAAATTTTCGGTTTTAGCATATTCCAAAGGAAACCCATAGGGAAAGATGATAAACTTCATGATGATCGATCAAATAAAGGATATTTAGAGCAAATATTGAAGCAATAATTTGTTTTTAACCGTTCAAATGTACACACACCGAATGTGGCAAAAGTAATCACTTCGCTTATCTTATTAAGCCATTTGTTGCGCAAAGACGAGGTCATAAGAGGTAATTTAGCAAAATTCCACACTTAATATGCTTGAAGCGTTAAAAACAACAGAACTGGAAAACGGGCAAAACATTTCAGGACTGTAAATGCATAATTTGTTGCAGCTGCCACAATATGCAGAAAGTCCCACAAATACACGAAATAAATCAATAATACGGCAATTAAATTCGGATTTCGTGTGCCGTTTTACACTTCCACGTCTTAATATGCAAATACTTTCTCCGCAATTCTGGGGACCCTTAAAAATCTCTTGAAACCAACCAGACGATGTTTAGTTCGCGTTCGCGATTTACAAAACGGGCACAGTTGAAGCGAGTTTCATGAGCACAAAAGTGCATGTTTTATTCAAACAGTTTTTGCTTGGGCCTAAACAACCAGAAAATGACGGTTAACTTGTACATTTTGTGGTTTGCCACCGTTTTAACACCGGCTCATGAGGAAAAAGGTACATCTTTTTTGTATGACTGCAACAAATATTTCAAAGAAAGCAGCTGCATATGGACATGCTGATTTAAAAAGAGTTTGACTCAAAATAACTGAAAATTGGGAAATTACAAAGAAAGCTTCATATAGTTTAGATAGTCTAATTGCGCTTTAGGTTGTTTCTCTGAAGCAATTTTGCTGCAAATTATTTATATTTCATGTCTGATTTTGATGTGGATTGATTGGCCTATAAGAACTGAAAAGCTTCATTTTAATTAACTTCTCTAAACCGCAACTTTAATATTTGAATCTTAAGATTTCCGCGCATCAAATCAACATTTTACATTATTCAGATAAGTCGCTCTTTTCTCATTTTACGCTCGCTCATATTGATAGATTTTACTCTTTCCGGCATGCCCTGCTCTTAATGGAGTTAAAAAGCACATTTCTCCGGAAAACCATGTAAACTTTAATGGGATCTAATATTTCTATTAAAATTGTAAAGGAGAAAACTTAGCATCGAATGTGCCTTTTACAATTCGTCCAGAATTGCGTTCAAAGTCTACTTCGTAAGTAAATTTTCCGCAAAATTGCTTTAATTTAAAGACCTTAAGGTTCATTTGGAAAACATTTTCCTACGAAAAAACACGACAAAAAATATCTTTGATCATGAACGACATTCGAACGTTAAAATGGCAAAAAAAACGCGTGGGTTTTTTTCTTCAATGGAATCACTATAAGATTGCATATAAAATACTTTTTAAAAATTGTTCCTTCAGCTCATGGTTATTTTTGATAACGCCAAGTGCAAGTAGGTTGCGTGTTGGATTTGTTAAAGACATACTAAAAAAGTGATAGTTTCCTTCGCTAAATGGTTGGTTTGTGTGAATTCTACGCAATTGGTTTTAAATGTGCTTGTTTCACGAAATATTGCACCTTTACAGAATGAAAACACGTGAATAACGGAAGTTTTACTTCCCTCCTGAAAACGGGCAAAAAATTAATTAAAAAATCAGGTAAAGTAAGGCATAAGCTGTAGAAAGGAATTATTTGGAGTTCTTCTGTGTGTTTTATTAATTTTTATTAAAAATAAAGACATAAATGGTCCTGATCAATTGCTTACTAGTTTTTCTGTATATTTAATGTATAATGGCGCATTTTAGAGGAAGGATTTAAAAAAAATGAACATCCCTCGGACGGTAAATTAATAAAATTAATAAAACCAAGAAATAATTTGAAACTTTTGAAGCAAAATTTCAGCGGGGTTAGAAACATTAGAACTAAACACAAGACAATCACGTATAAATTAAAAATTTTAATGCATTAACAACATTAACAACAATCTCCTTGTTCCAGATAAATTGTATCTATGACTGCAAAAGGCCGCCTAAATGGACGACATGAACATCACCGCCAACGTGAGCAATGAGCACGTTCCTCCCTTCTACTTCGTCCAGATCACCCAGACCATCCTTTTCTCTTTGGTGTGTTTGGTGGGAATAGCTGGGAACACCCTCGTGATTTACGTAGTGGTGCGCTACTCCAAAATGCAAACAGTCACCAACATGTACATCGTAAATCTGGCCATTGCAGACGAGTTTTTCCTGATTGGAATACCATTTCTCATAGCCACCATCCTCCATGGGCATTGGGTGTTTGGACACTATGCGTGTAAAGCTTACATGATTACCACCAGTATTAATCAGTTCACTAGTTCCATTTTGCTGTGCATAATGAGCGCTGATCGTTATATAGCAGTGTGTCATCCAATATCTTCACCTAAATGGAGGACTCCTTTCATCTCCAAAATGGTTTCGTTCTTTGCCTGGTGCTGCAGCATCCTCCTGATGGTTCCCATCGTCGAACATGCCCAAGAAGTCGACGGTCCCAATGGGCAAAACTCCTGTGCGATTATCTGGGGAACGGCGGAGTCCGAAAACTTCACCTCATACTTCCTCAACAACACCTTAACATCGAGCAACTCCAGCAACTCCACCCAATTCGACTTTGAGCCGGATTCCTCCCCCGCCATCGTTTTCACTATTTACACGTTTGTTTGCAGTTTTGCCATTCCCCTAACGCTTATTTTGTTCTTCTACTCGCAAGTGTTGAGGAAACTGAAGACAGTCGGGCCGAAGAACAAGTCGAGGGAGAAGAAGAAGTCGCACAGGAAAGTGACGAACTTGGTATCCAGTGTCGTTTTGGTTTACATTATCTGCTGGGCACCGTATTGGGTCACTCAGCTGGCCATTAGTAACTCCAATCACAACAATATTACGTAAGTTTTAATGATAAATTTCAATAGAAGAAGCAGTATTGATGAACCAACCAGCTAAACAAATAGTTCTTGACTTCAAACCCTTGTTTGAACAAATAGTCTTCACCTTCAAATACTTGAACAGAAATAAAGAAACACATATTTGTACATAGTAAAGTAAAGTGCGCCTTTTGAGACCCAAATACTCGATAAAGGCTGGTCTGAGCCGTTTAATGCAATTATACATTTTTTGACCAACATAAGCAGGAGAATAGACAAAATGATAGCAAACGTCGATATTCTAGGGGTTCCAAAAAAGTTTTTTTTAAAAACCTGCCAAAAGGCTTTTAAAAACCGCCTTTGGCAAACAGTGCTAAAAACAGTAACATATTTAAATTTCCCGCTCTTAAAACTTGTTGGTACTACTTAAATTGAATGAACAAAATATCTAAAAATCAGAAAATCTACTTGGGTTATCAAAAATCAAGCATTTGCTGAGTAATGTAGGCCTGGGTAACGCAGAAAATGTTTAGGAATTGGCGCGGTGCTGCGCAAATGGCTTGGTGCGCCAACCCATCGCACCGGCGCATTAACTCAGTTCCTTTGCTGGGAAAACGTTCATGACTTTTTTACTTGTTTTTAGATTTATTTGAAGGGCCATTTATTAAGAATATTTTTAAAATTTCTTCAAAATTTCAGAATTTTCCACTTTTCGCCAAGTTACTCTTTCATCTAAATGCTAATTTTTCTAAAGTTTCACTTAAAAATGCAGACAATCTTAAGGTATTTTCGAAGTCTTAAAATCGAGGCGCAAAATTACAAGATAAATTTATAGCTTAGTAAACATTTTATAAAACGTTTTTCAAATTCCCGTTTTCCCCGAAAACCATTAAGGTTTTCTCCAAAATCGATCACAAAACTAAAAGTTTTAATCGAAAACGCAAAAAAAAACCATTATTTTCTGACAATAATGGGGTCTTTTCAGCCAAAAATGACAAAATTAGTTTTGCCAGAAAATTCGCCTCATTCATCTGTTTGCAGGGAACTTCAGAAAGCCCATTTCAGCTTCGAATTTGGCACAAAAATTATTTGGAAAGTTCGCCGCCCTCATAGCTCTAAGTTTCTTTAAATTTTCAGGTCATTCCAGTTTTAACAAAGTTTCTATTAAGAAATTTTTTCTACGCAAAAATCGGATTAGTTTTTAGTTTTACTTAAAATTATTAATTTTATAAAATTAAAATTATTTTTCCACCTTCGAAAAAACCCTAATAATTAATTAATTATGGGTCTTTTTCCAAAAATATTTCCCCTAACTGAAAAAGCGAAGTTTTATAATGCCAGCCTGCTAACACTCTTTCAGAGCAAAAAATACCAATAAATGGTAAACAACCTTAAAAAGTTACGGATCTATCTTTATTGATCAATTGTCCGTAATTTCAGAAGACCATGAAATCTTTTAGCATCCGTAAATAAAAAAAGCAAGTAAAATTTGAAAAAAAAACTCCACAAAACAATGTAAAACTATTAAAGAAAACTACCAAACTAGCATAGGGAACAGCATTAAGCTGAGTCTGTCTCAATAAATGTAGTGCCATCTTCAGTTCCTCGTCGTCTTTTGAGACACTCTTAACAACTGTTTGAACCCTTGCACTTTTGGGTGAAGGGAACTATTAACTCTTTAATTAAACTTTCTATTAAAACCACTATTATTTCAGCTTGAACATAACACTTCATCTACTGGCATCCTGCCTTAGCTATTCAAATTCGGCAGTCAATCCCATACTCTACGCCTTTCTGAGCGACAACTTCAAAAAGAGCTTCTGGAAAGCCTGCACGTGTGCAGGCAATAAGGACGTTAACGCCACCCTCCATCTGGAGAACAGCGTTTTTCCGAAAAAATCAAAACCCTCATCATCAGAAAGGTCAGCCACCAAATGGCTAATTTTGTTTCGAAACTATGACTAATTGTTTTTCGTGTAGGTTCCGGAATACAAGAAACACGTCGATATGTCCCAATATGGATGAGGATGGTGAGGCGCCACTGGTGAAAGGCGATCCCTCAACATCAGCCACTGCATTAACAATGACCAGTCGGATCAACATCAATCTGCACGACAGTCGAGACAATGTGATGATAAAAAACGGAACAGCTCACCAGTCCCAACCCACCAGCTTATAATCACCTTTGAATGGGTGTATTTTGAAAATGAGGAGGATTTTTTGTAGCCAAACATATTGTGAACTGGTAGGAATTGAATTGGTTTGAAGCGGTGGACAGTCGGTGATTTTTTTTATAGTTGAACTGATGACTTTGAAGATGCAGAGCTAAACGGAGCGTTGTGATCTCGCAGTCATATAGGAGTTACAAGGTATCTAACTTCGCATTAAAATAATTATTTTGTCTGCTTTTTTAACATAATTCGGAAACAAACATTACTAACATTCTAGCTAAACATTTATAAGCTTAATGAAAATTGCTGCGTGAAATTGGACGCAGATTTTCATCTCCAGTATTTGCAAAATTGTGCGTTGAAAATAGGTAAAAGTAATGCGAATGAATGAAGCAACTTTCCGCAATATATAGCAAAGTAAATTTGCAAAATTTCTTGTTACTTTCGCAATAAAAACACCACATCCTTTCCATCCTTTCGCAACTGAAAACATAAAAGTTTTGAATATTCGATGTCTTCGTCATTTAGTTATTGACTTGTAAATATTTAGTTAGTTTGCCACTTTTTTATAAATGACAAAATATATATTATATTTATAGAGTATAATTTTATTTTTACACTATGTGGTAGATTTGTAAAGAAAACCAATTAACAGGGTAACTTAATGAATTAACTTTCATGCGTTTTATTGAGATTTCAAAGCGAGCCCATGAAATCTCATAAAAACAAGCCACTTAACTTGTAGGGCCTGTATGTATATCATTGTTGCTTTCACTGCACATAAATAGATCTTTTCAAAATAGTACTTAGCCTCCGCATATCGAAGATAAGTTGAGTTTTTATGCAAAAACTGTACTTACATATCAAGTTATGTAAATAACTGTGCCCTACATTGGCGAACAATTTTCGGCGCATTTGAGCGTTGATTATTCTTTGCCATGATCGATGTTATGTAAATATGAATTTGTATATTTTATATGGTTTTTGTTACTACCTGTGATATTAACATATATAAAAGTATTCGACGTTTTAACCAAGCTACGTCTTTGTATGAGTAGGAAAAACGTCTTGTAGATATAATTAATTAACACCCATTTAGTGTAGTTTGTAGGCAATTAATTTATGAATGAAATGTTCAGGACCGCCGGACGTTTATAATAAATATGTCCGATTTTCACGTAACACATAGTACTCATTTGTTAATAGACTATTTCTCAATGTTGTGTACGAATTATCGCTAAGTCCCCCTAACATAACATATTGGAAAATGACTATTTATCTGCCAAATAGTTAAGAGGTGTCGAAATCTGTAATGTCTATTAATCAAACATCAAATAAATATTGGCAAATCAGCCTTTTGTTGTCGTTATTTCCCTAAATAGCATCAAGATTTTAAATATTCCACTCAGTGAATTGAGAAATTAGGCTATTTTGTTGCATTTTAAAGTAGTTTATTGTTGATGCAATCCCTTAACTAACTTATCAAATGTATAAATTATCACAGCCGAGATTATACAAAAATATATAATTTCCTACTACAAACTCGAGGTATTTTCTTATAACGGAGCAAAAAAAAAATGAAACTTTCGCGTAGGTACCCAAGACAAGCATCTGCTTGAAACACGCAGTACAATAAAAGCAACGCACTGATTTTTCAACAATCAAAAACCTCTACTACTTAAACAAACATCTGACCCTGTACAGCTGGAGGTAAATTGCCCTTCACTAGCAATTCAGGCAAAATAAACCCTGTTTTCTCCCTCACTCACTACTCAGAGCGATCAGTTGTACTCACACATATGCCCACATCCAGTCGGGCACACTCTTTTCTGAGCCAGCCACTGCTTCATATGGACGATGTGGCCCCCATGAGAGCAGCCCTGGCACCAAACGTAAAGCCCTTAAATAAAAAAACGATGATTTAAAAATAGCGCTTCCAACGCAAAGTTTCTTTTAGTATGGCTGTAAAATGTGGGATTTTACAAATGTGGCTAAGTTATTAAACCGTTTGTTCTTCTCTAATAAAAATATGTTCATAAAAATACAACACCAATAAATTAAAATATTTAAGCAAGAAATTTGGAGTTTTTTCCCGTGACCGTTGGTTGAACAATGCTCGTCCATAAGTATAATTTTCAATCTTTTTGTAACAGTTTGAATCCTTCTCTTCATTCAACTTTATCAATTCAAGTAACTTCTCGTGTCTTACTGAATTCAACTCATTCGACGCACAAATTTATGTGAACAAAAGTGAAAAACGTAAATTTGCGCCGTAAATAATTTCGTCGAATTTAAAATTGAACATTTAACGCACAAATATACGCTTGAGGCAAAACGCGCACTTGTAACTGTTTAGCTTTGGACGCGACATGCTCATTCCCGCTTAAACAAGAACAAGATTGTTCAATTCAAAGACCTCTTTCTGTGCTAAATCATCATAATCGCCTACAAATATATAACAGAATGTAAAGGCTGTATTTACCTCTCACAACCTGATGGCAAATGCTGCACAAGCCATATTCCGGCGTGTGGCAGCGATCGCACAACCAGCCAACTCTTTGCAAAGGTTTCGTGCACTTTCCACAATTCGTGTGCATCGTTGTGCTTTGCTGATTCAGCTGGCTGACGTTGGGCAACCAAGACAGTTTGATCACCTGGTTCGTGATGTTCCACAGCTTGTACCTGCTTAAGCGTTCGATGTATCCGAGCAGCCAGTGCTCTTGAAGAGTTTCGCTCAACCCTAGAAAAATGACAAATTCTTTCAATCACCCATCGCCCGAAAGAGTAATCAATAATACCTGTTAAATATTTGCGACTCTCTCCCAGCACTATTAAGATAGAAGCTACAGTTTGTACATCGCCTAGAGAGGCGTAATGGTGCAAAGTCTCTATAACAATGGAACTGGGATCCCAGCAAGGCTTTCTGCACGGTTTAATGTTGGCGAGCATTCCAGGCAGCTGATCGTCCACCTATAAGGGCAAACTTTAGAAATTAAGTCACTAAAAAAAACTAAACCTGCCTGTATTGTATGACTGTCTTCACGGTAGCTCAGTGACTGATGATGGTCGGGAAATTGCTCCGGCGGTGGAGACCTATCAAGAATCTTATGCCGAATCGGGAAAGCCTCGGTTGGCAAAGTCCAATCTAAACCGAGAATTTTTATTGAAAAATTAATAGAAAATTAATGAAGATTGCGCAATCAAAGCTCACCGATTTGTTCTGGTGTAACTGGATTGAGCCGAAACCCATACTGATAATAGTCCAGAAACACTGGCGCCCCTTCCAGCTCCACATCCAGCTCGTTCTCGCCAAAAAAAAAGTCGCCTTTAGGCAAACACCCATTCCGAACGTTTAAGTAGTTAGGAAACGCATTGTCCACTTGATCTTCGTTTTCCGTCTCCTCATCTCCTCCGCTAAATTGGGCTGCTGGCGTTTCTCCACCTAGATAAACGACGTTGGTGAGATAATTTTAAATACTTCATACGAATGAACGATTCTAGTACCTTTCGATTTTTGATCATCAGTGTTTTCAGCAGAACAAGCCCCATCTTCATGCTTATTTGCGTTCAAGCTCATAGAACTTGGCGCAAATTCTTCGGCATACATAATTTTGATGATATTCCAACTCACTGATACATCGTTCTTGCCCAATTCCATTGCCACTGTCGCATTTCGTTCACATAGTTCAGATACACTTCTTCCATGCAATAAATAATTATTGGCAAGCTCTGGAAAGGAACGCAACATTGCAAATTATTTGCATTACAAATTAGTAAAAGGACTCACTCAAAAACACTGATGATTCCTGTTGTTCGACGTTATTTGGGTTAAAATTATAAGTATGACTAGCTGCTTGATGGAACGTATCTACGGCTTGTGAGGTGGAAATTTTCCGCATTAACCCCACAGCTTTACTGAGCGAATTCTGGTTGCTGCTACTTGGGGTGATACTAGCGATGTTCATTTTCCTGCAACACACAACTTCTCCTTTCGCATTCAAACTAATGCCCTGCGGGTTTGCCTTGTTTGCCGGCTTTTGGGCGTCATTGAACGAGTGATGAAACAAAGTGTTGTCCTACAACAGCGACTTTTGAAATATTTTTTTTAATCAAAGAAAGCTCTTACTCTTCCGCTGCTTAAGAATATATTCGGATCTCCTCTCCATGCTACTCCACTGGCAATATCTCTGTGTTCATTGAAGGATGCAAAAGGAATGTAAGGCCTTCGGACATCCCAAATATTTATACTACAGTCGATGACCAGGGCACAACTGGCTATTTGGTACTTGTACTGAGGCCTCCATTTCACGAAGCCTATTGAGGCTATCGTGTGAATTGTATACTCTAAAGTCGGCTTGCTAGTGAGATCCCAGACCTAAATTTTGACCATTTAGTGCTTCGTTATAATTACGACACGAAACTTGCCTTGATGGTTTTATCCCGGCTAGCTGTGGCAAGCCAGGTGGATTCTGGATGCCAATCACAAGCAAACACAGGCCCACTGTGAGCAGTAAATTGTATTTGCAATTTGTCCGGTTTCCGGACATCCCATATTTGAACGTTGCCGTTTTCCGATACAGCCGAAAATGTGTAGGAGTTGTGTGGACTGAATTGGACGTCTCTCACGCTTTCAGTGTTACTAAAATGTTATCAAGACAGATAAGCATTAGCTGTTCTAAACAATAAAGTTATAGTGAGATTCATCTCACACACACCTATAAAAAACGGAGACGGCATTTTTCACTCGCACATCAAAATATCTCATTGTTCCATCCTGGGAGCCGGAGATGAGTTTGAAAGGATCAGTGGCATGGAAATTCACTTTGTTCACTGTTCTTTTGTGATCCTGATAATCTTGTTCTTGCATGGCTCTACCCATTTTTGTGAGATTCCAAACACAAACGTGCCCATTTGTAGCCGCGGTTGCGACATAATGATCTAAATAAAATGTTTAAGACTTTTGTTACAAATTTTACTAAAAAATTTAATTCTTTATAAAAAGTCCTGCACGGTCTGAAATGAAAAATTCAACCGCCAAACATCTTTCGTTCGATGGTTTTCTGCGGTTTTCAAACAATATGAATTTGGTTCAAGAACCAAGTGGTAAATAAGTTAAAGGTTTTCAAAATTGAGGAACCAGTAGAAGCAGAGTAGTACAAAAAGAAGACCGAGTAAGAAGAATAACTGAGTATACTACAAAATTGAAATTAGTTTCCAAAAAGTATGTAGAAATGCATTATAAAATACATATTTCTATTAGTTTGTTATTAAGATTCACATTGAATTTTTTGGCGAAAACGAATAAGTTGCAGGTTTTAAACAGAAAGGTAATGAATAATCGCTTACCATCACTTAAGCTCCAAGCGACATCATTGCAGGAAAAATTCAAATTGAGGTGTTTTAGTGTCCTCAAATTGCAAATTTCTCGAAATCTGTCATCCTCTATTTGGTACACTTTGAAGACTGAAATTAACGAAAAACTTGCATAATAAAACACAAATATATACAATTAAATGTTAACTAAGATCCAAAAATATGTGCGTAAATTGAGCATACAGGAATTACACGAACGTTTATGAAGGAGGATTTCAACCTTTTGGTTATTTTGTCTAAATTCTTAGTTCAAAAAGAAGGAAATACGAACACTTTACATTTCACTCTGTAAATGTGTTATTTACATTTTATACAAGTTTTCAATCAAGGGCCATCAACAGGCAACTTGAGGAATATTCGCAATTAGGACACTAACCAGTGTAGATGGTCTAGTCTAAGTTAAAAACCACAACCACGGACCGAAAGCTTCATTCATCGGCCATAATTAAGAATTTCTAGTAAAGTTCGAAAACTTGAGTACAATTTCCAATTATGACTCTAAACAGTGTACCTACCTATAGAAAAAAATAGCGCAATATTTGGTTAACTGGCAAGATTTGCAAAGGAAAGAGCACACTTTTCTACACAGCCCCTGAAAGTTTCGCACGCGGGCCATCATCAGGAATTTCTAGAAAAATTCACAAACTTGACGAAGATTTGCAATTGGGGTTCTGATCGTGTACATCATCTAAGTTGCAAGATGAAGCTGAGTGAACTAAGAGATACGCGAATGGCAACTTTTGTATAAGCAAGGGGACACTTTATTATAAAAGACCTGAATCTCTCAAAAGTTGGAAATTTTCCGTCTATTTTACAAAGTTAAGGGGCTGCTTGTAGTTAAGCGACTGGTAGGTACTTGACTTGAGTTAGGTTGTTATCAAAATTGGCGCAGATAAAATATTGACTATGTTTGCATATAGGTAAAATACAAATTTTCTGATGTAGCAAAGGAAAGTCCTCAGATAGATGCAGGAATGTTATTCTTCCATTCGCAGTGAAAGCCATTAATCCAAGTGAAAGAAAGAGTAAAAAAACATAATCTTGCAGCTGGAACAACAACTAACTATGCAACGAAATTAGCATTATATATGGATATAATGGAGACAGCCCACAAGTGGATACGATCGCAATAATTATTGATTTGACCCAAAAATGAGAGTGGTTAATTTAGCTAAAATTTTAAAATCGACTCTGAGTTAAAATAAATCTCAAACTCAGAGTTATCCATGTAAATCCATGTAAATGCCAGTATAGAGTTGAATAAACAATAAATATGAGTGCTGACAATTTACGGTTACAGCCAGATTAACAAAAATATACAAAAAATAAACATACAAACAAACTTACCATTTCTTCCCCCAATCACCACCTGGGTGTTATCCTTATTTAAAGCTAAAGCATTAACAGGCCCGTCTTGAACGACCGAAAAAGTGCTCATTTTATGTAGGGCTTTTTAAACAGCAATAAATAATAATAACACAATTTCATAAATTAAGACGTATTATTTACTGTCAAGCCTCAAGAATTTGAGGTTCAAATCGCAGAGAAATTGACAGAAAAAACGTCTAAACAGGGATGTTTTTGATTGTTTGAGGTTATTTTTTGTGAGTTGTTGTTTACTTTAGGAAATTTGAATAAAATCCTCCTCTATCTAATGTGATTTGTGCGACAAAAGTTCGAGTATTGCAAATAATTGCGGTCATGACTTCCAAGCTGGAGGTTTTATGGAGCCCCATTCGAGATCGGTTTATTATTTGGGGGGGCGACACTATTACGTCCCATCAGCTAGTACCGAAGAAAGAAGGGGGCCCAACCGTTGGCAGTAAGCGTTCATGAGCTCAAATAGTTTATTCGAGAAACTTGCCGATGTTTTCCAGGTTACAATGTCTCTAAAACGCACACCACTGAATTGATTTGCACTGCCAACAATCAGCATCAAGTTAAATGTCTGGACATTTACCCCCTTTCTCAGGGGGATGAAATTGTGGCCCTGGGTGGCAGCGGGGGTAAAATTACAGTTACCTATATGGCAAAACTGGCTTCAGAAGGAAGCGGCCTGCCGAAGAAAGAGTTCAGTAAGTGACTGGCAATGTTCAAACAATTCAGTTTAAAAGTTGGCTTTGCTTCTAGATGCAAAATGCCCCAGGCCTTGCACTTCAGTTCACTTCAACCCAGTTGATTGCCAGTTGGTGGCTGTGGGGCTGGAAAAGTACAAGCCGGACAACTCTATAATGATCTTCGACATCACCCAAGTATGCGCTAAAAGGGACCCCATAGTTGGCTTTATGGGCTCTAATGGGGTGGCCGAAAGCACCAAACCAGTATGGGAATTTGGGATGTCCGAGCATTGCCAGAATCTCTCCTGGTTTCACAACAACAGCAAAATTCTAGCCACTGGCATGAACATGAAGTTCATCCGCCTGTATGATATCCGCGGTTAATATTCACTGCCATTTGGGTTGAATTGGGGGCTAATTCAGTGCTTCTTAGATTTGAACCGGGTGGTCAGTTCAACGGTCACAAAGGCGGCTTTAGGCGTGTGCACTAATCCGAAAGATGACAAATATTTGGCCTCATACTTCGAAAATCAAATTTACGTTTGGGATACTCGGAACATTGAAAAACCCATTCAGATCTTGCCGCAGGCCAAACCAGTCCTCAAAGTGGGATGGTGTCCTACTAAGTACTTAACTAAACACCGGGTTTTTATACCGATCAATTAACAATAACATTTTAATTTTTGCCCACAGAAGTAATCTGCTAACAACGTTGCAAAGAGACAATGGCTATGTAAGTCTCTACGATATTCAATATCCAACTATCGGAAATGAGGATGTTGAGCCAACTGTTATGGAGCGAACTATTAATTTAAAGTCCACATATCCTCTGGCTTCTTTCAGTTGGCATCCCCATGATGAAAACCGAATAATGACCTGCAGTGGTTCGAATGCTTTAGGCAAAAGTAGGTGGAATATACACGGTGTTAGTAAATAAGTGCGGCAAATTTTATGGGGTGATTCTGCATGGAAAAATAATGTATGTCCGCAAATTATTCTTTTTCCGCGCGATGCCACCCTGTATATGCGCTAAATCTTTTGCTGATCCTCCAATAAGTAACTATTGTATATGCACTTTACTGGACTTAATGGAATTTCAGTTGAATTACGGGATCATTCAGTCTATGATAGAATAACTCTGAATTTAACGCCGTACTTTCAACTGATCTGGTCCCATGGGAAGAAGACCCTAAAGTGTCTCGACGTTAAACATATATCCGGATGTGGTGATATTTCCACGAAGATACAACGGCGTGCCAAGGCACAGTATGGACTGGATGTACTTTTCCCATGGCCTCTTATCCATTAAATTTCTATATGCCCACTTTTTTAGGATGATTTATATAAAAACGCCGAAATGGTGAAGGAAGACGAAGTCTTGGCCAATGTCTGGCACTGGTTGCATTTGAGTGCCAAACTGGTTGAAGATGGCAAAGTAACGGGCCCAACGCTAAACACCAGTTTCAAACACCCGGGTGTTCTCTCTGTTATTAATAACGATCACGACAACTTCTCGTCTGAAGCCATTACAGTTTCATGGACCGATTTGGGCCACGTGAATTGCAGAGGATCGGTGAAATTCTACGTGTAAGCCACGAACAAACAACTTTCCAGCCAAATTAAACAAAACATATTTTTTAGGCGAACAGACCGCAGTATGGCCCTACTATTGTGCTCCTGGCCATCCAACAACGACATTTCCAGTATCACCACCATAGTCGAATACCTGGAAAAAGAAGGAGCTTATTCCAGGGCTGCGGCAATGGCAGTTTTCAATCTTCAGGTTCCTCTGGCAATTGAAGTGCTGAATCGAGCACCAGTTGAGGCAGGGCTAAGTTACGTAGGCATCGCGCTTGCAGGATTTTCCAACGAAGAGGACAGCAATTGGAGGAAATTTTGCGCTACTGCATTAAAAAAAATTGCTGACCCATATTTGAAAGCGTTGTTCAGCTTCCTGCTTTCGGAGAATCATAATTACGATTGCGTTTTGGTATGTTGTAGCTCTTGGATTTAATAAAATATATTTATGCCACAAGTAAATTGCAGAAGGATACCAAAATTGCTGTGGACGATCGAGTAGGTTTTGCATTGGTGTTCCTATCCGATCACAAGCTGGCGGATTATTTAAACAAATTAAGCGCCGAGTTATGCGACAAAGGCAACCTGGATGGTCTGCTATTAACAGGCAACAGTCCCAAAGGCTTAAAACTGCTGCAAAATTACTTGGACGATACAGCAGACATTCAGTCGACCACCCTCATCGGAGTGAGGGCGTTCCCGCAGGAGTTGGATTCGCCGAATGTGAAAAACTGGATTGAAAAGTAACCGAATACTTGGAAGTTTTCCTAGCGACTTGAGTTGGCTTTTTTAGCTACCAGGAGTTACTAAATCAATGGAAGTATTGGTTTGAAAGGGCCGAATTCGATCTGATGTTGGTCAAGTATAAGAATGAAAGGCCCACGCCGCAAGTGTACATGTCGTGTACCTATTGCGGGAAAAACATCTCTGCCCATTTGAGGACGCTGAAAAACCAGCAATTTTCGCGGATAAACGTGGCAGGATCATCCAATAAGGTTTCACAGTTAAATCCACGACTTTCGAAGTCTAAAGCAGGTTTTTCCTCAGTTAACTGGATGCCCTCATTGCCGGAAGCCGTTGCCGAGATGCATTATTTGCCTAATGACAATGGGAACGTGTATTGCCGAAATTAAGGGAATTAAACCGCAGTCATTCGACAACTGGTTCACTTGGTGCCAAAGTTGCAGGCATGGAGGACATTCGCGACACTTGACGAATTGGTTTATGTACGTACTTTGAAGGCATTTGAACTGGAGATTTATTAGCTTCGCTTTCAGGGAACATCTAGAGTGTCCGATGGTGGGATGCTCTTGTAAATGCTACTCTCTAGACTATTCCACTTTGGCCAATTGAAACGTTCCTTTGTACAGTTTGTGATGAATAAACATAGATTTTTCAAGCGCTTTTTTTAGTCAGGGACAAATAAAACCATCAACGTGAATAAATTTATATAATTCTGCAATACCGGTACAAAGTACAATATGGAAAAGTTACAAAAATTATGCCCTGTCTTCACATTAAAAATTAGTGGACAAACAACTAAACCTAAAACACGTTTTTTGAACAATTCTAGTGATGTACTTATGAATAGTTTAAAGTTCTGTGGTACGTCTAGAGGTATGCTGATTACGAATTTCACATTAAAAGCACTGCTTGTTAGAGGATGCGCGCTGCGTACTTACACTTTCCTTCGAGAATATAGACGTCGATATAGCAGAATGAGGCATAGGCAGAGAAAAATAATTACCTTTATGAGCCTTCAAGGAATGATTGCTCCAAATTATTTATTAGTTATTTCAGAGCCGTAAACACGCACTAAACCAAAATTAGATGAACAGTTCTTGTTAATATTAATACGTCCTTTTTGATGGTATTACTATCACGACGTAATTTAATGTTGAAGGTAAACAAAAATAATAAATATTAAAACCTAACATCCTAACACAAGACGAGTTCAGTTTTAATTTTCCCATCGATTTCCAAGCCCAAGAAGACCCTTGAGCAGGTTAAATGCACGAATACTTAACATAACTGAATGCAAATGCAACAACGAAAGCCCAGCTCTCTAAAGGATTGTACATTTCAATTTCTTTTTCTTGTTCTTGTCTTTCCCTCTGCCGTTACTCGTTTTGTTTTCGTCCTTCTTCCTTGCTCTGATTTCTCGCATCAAATCATAAAATACCTTCAAATAATCATATTTTACTATCATATGCAGTGATATCAAAGTAAATAGCACATTTAAAAAAGTACAATTGATTAAAACAGCTTTATCGAAATACAGTTGACAAAGATTATTTCCAGCGTTTCTGGTATATTTCAGAAATTGCCGTTTTGTTTAGAAAACATTCAAAACCGGTCTTTAAAACACCGTATATTTTTTCAAACATGAGATTTTCATTCATCTTAAAACGCTGTTTATCTAAGAGCACGTTTTCCCTATCAAACTGTGTTTGGAAATCGCAATTTCCCGCAGTGGCGTAGAAGTTAGGGACAAACAAGTTCCAATCACTACGCATAATCTACGCTATTAACAGATGAAAAATATGTGAATTAACCCACACAAAGTAGCAAAATATGTACATAAGTTCAATTGCTGATCTCGCCACCGGGGAAAAGCGCAAAACCCGATCTCGAAGATATGCACTGCATGACGACTTGAGTTTGAGTCACACTTTACAATAAGATTTATTATGGAAATGTATAACGTCCGTAAGAATCTGTGGAAAACTTACCTTGTCCACATGATCCCGAGTTTTTGCAGATGTTTCCACATATGGTACGCCCCATTTGTTGGCTCGATCTTGTGCTTCCTGAAAGGTGACCTTTCGCTTTTCATTCAGATCAGATTTGTTGCCGACAAGCAAAAAGGGGATGTTTTCGTCGTTTTTCACACGCAGAATTTGTTCCCTAAAATATTAATTGCAAAAAAGATTAAGCCTTCGCCACAACGTCTACGTTCTCAGTTTATTAAGAAGTTGGTGTGGAGAGTGTGGAATAGTTCGGGGACACGGCATTGGTTAAAACGCAAAATATATTTCTTATTTGGCGCTCTTATAATTAAGACTTGTGTATAATAGAAGCGACAATGTGAAAATTTTGGGGGCCCTCGAAGTGAAAGCACCCCAAATCTACGAAACGGTTCGAGATAGCCCTTTAGCGTTTAGGACCTTTTCGATAGCCCATCTCGAGATCTATCTTTTACTATTATAGTTTCTTCAGAAATTATCAATCCCTAAAGAAACCCAAGCGAAAATGTAAACATTTTGCGGACCTTCATAGTTAAGACCCCGTATCTACGAAACGGTCCGAGATAGCCCTTTAGTGTTTAGGACCTTTTCGATAGCCCGTCTCGAGATCTATCTTTCACTATTATAGTTTCTTCAGAAATTACCAATCCCTAAAGAAATACAAGCGAAAATGTAAAAAATTTGTGGACCTTCATAGTTATGACCCCGTATCTACGAAACGGTTCGAGATAGCCCTTTAGTGTTTAGGACCTTTTCGATAGCCCGTCTCGAGATCTATCTTTTACTATTATATTTTCTTCATAAATTACTAATCCCCAAAGAAACCCAAGCGAAATATAAACATTTTGCGGACATTCATAGTTAAGACCCTGTATCTACGAAACGGTCCGAGATAGCCCTTTAGTGTTTAGGACCTTTCCGATAGCCCGTCTCGAGATCTATCTTTTACTATTATAGTTTCTTCAGAAATTACTAATCCCTAAAGAAACCCAAGCGAAATATAAACATTTTGCGGACCTTCATAGTTAAGACCCCGTATCTACGAAACGGTGCGAGATAGCCCTTTAGTGTTTAGGACCTTTTCGATAGCCCGTCCCGAGATCTATCTTTTACTATTATAGTTTCTTCAGAAATTACCAATCCCTAAAGAAATACAAGCGAAAATGTAAAAAATTTGCGGACCTTCATAGTTAAGACCCCGTATCTACGAAAAGGTTCGAGATAGCCCTTTAGTGGTTGGACCTTTTCGATAGCCCGTCTCGAGATCTATCTTTTACTATTATAGTTTCTTCAGAAATTACCAATCCCTAAAGAAACCCAAGCGAAAATGTAAAAATTTTGCGGACCTTCATAGTTAAGACCCCGTATCTACGAAACGGTTCGAGATAGCCCTTTAGTGTTTAGGACCTTTTCGATAGCCCGTCTCGAGATCTATCTTTTACTATTCTAGTTTCTTCAGAAATTTCCAATTCCTAAAGAAATACAAGCAAAAAAGTAAAAAAATTCCGATCTCTAAACAAATAATAGTTTAATTAAATTAATTATTTGAAATAAATAAACTTGATACTGAAACGTTCGAGGCAAATCAACGATCAAAGTAAGATTTCCTACATGCCAATGATTGAAAATCCGCGCCTATAAGCGGAATTAACTAGGATTTCATTATCTCGATAGACGATAGATATGTCATACCTACTTAAAAATGCTCTGTAAATAACGTTCGAAAAACGTCTGGAGCTTAACAGGCATTTATTTCCATGTAAAAAACCGTAATAAACAGGACAAACCTGAACTCTTGCGTAGCCTGAAAGCTTTCATCTTCTGTAATGGAAAAAATGCACAGAAATCCTTCGCCACTCCTAAAATAGTTGTCCCTGATCGCTGCATAGTCCTCCTGGCCGGCCGTGTCCAGAATATCAATCTGGACTTCTTCCCCATCCAGCAGAATCTTTTTCCTGTAGGAATCCGCCTTTGTGGGCTCGTAGTCTTCGACGAATTCATCGTACATGAACTGAAGAGTGAGTGCAGACTTTCCCACACCTCCACTCCCGACCATAATCACCTTGTGAAGGGCCGGTTGAACAGTTGGTTTCTTCGACATATTCTACAAGGAATTAAGGGTTTTTAAAGGCTTTTGCTCAGCTAATAACCCGTGTCAGTGACCTTTTCCATACAAAACACTTATGCACTAACCTGTGTGAATCACGCAATTGCCAAGGTTTAAACGGATTTAATGCCACCTATTTATAAGTTTATAGAAGCAAAACACATGAACATACAATGTGCATTAATTGTGTTTTTCTATGTTTATCCAAGCAACACAAAACTCTGATTCATAGTAGGAAAACTCAACAAATTATTCACTCACTTCTAAGAAAATAACTCTACAGGCTTACAGAGTTGTCAGCTTGCTGATGCAATTTTACCATGCCTGGGTTTCTCTCGTTAAAATAATTAATCCGGTAATAGGTTTTAGCTGCCTCGTATACTTTACATATTAATATTTTATATGCATAAATGAGTATGAAAATGAAATTTTCTGTGATCAGTTTGATTGAAATTATTTTTTTCAAATTCTGGGTTTTGCGGTTTTTCGAGGCGTTGATGTGGAATGAATGAGTATTAAACTTAAAGATGGATTTTTTACGAATGATTCAATTTAAATGCAGTTGTTTAAAACATTAGCTCAAGTGAGACATTTAGTTTCCTAAGGGAACCATTCAAAAAACTACCAAATTTTGCGAATTTCAAAGTTTTGGTTTTCTCTTGAAAATACGGCACCATTTTGATCAAAGTGCGTTATTGCTTTCAAAAAATATATAAATAGAATAAAAATAGACAAAGCGATGCTTGTTTTTAATTTGTTTGCTTGATGTATGTTGGTGTAAACCTACTCACTTTCTTATTGATTTCAGGGACTTGGCAATAACGCTAACATTTGTCAACGGTGACATTTCGTAGTTAGAATGAGAAATCAGCTGATTGTCATCCATGAACGATGGCGTTGTTAAACAAGACAACTTAAAACAATATTCACTTGTTCCTGAGTGTTAAATCAAGAATAGAGTTTGGAATGCTCAGGTTCGTATGCTGCATTATTTGTGCTGTTAAGTTGCAAAGTGATCTGAGTAACCCACATGTGGAAAGTCAGCCTGGAATGCATGTAGGGCTTCTTCACAAGCACTGTTCCAGATAAGAAAATCTAGATTTGAGCAGAATTGGCAATGGGAATCTATATTGAAACCTTACTGCTTGATTTACAACTGCTGTTCACAAGTATTTCTTTGGGTTGAATAGTTGGACCTCAGGGTTTAAAGTGTCTACTACAGAGTTGGTTGAAGTGTTCGCTTTCTTGCTGTTTTTGGCCAAAAATCGCATTTTACATGTGTGTTTGTCGAGCTCAATAGATATTTTGCACCGTAAGAAGCCCTTCAATGTCCATATACGAAATATTTGCAGAATACAGAATATATATTCGGGTAAAGGTTGAACCCTGACAAAAAACATTGAAAATGAAGCACATTCGTTGGAATCCGTCTTGCTTGCTAAGAAATTGGTATAGAAATTACATTATATAGTAAGGAAGCTCGTTTGGACTTAAAGGGACAGTTGACATGTGTTTTTGTTTTTCTATATGCATGGCTTTCTATCCGACAAGCTCTTTGATATGGGTATAAGCAAGTTATCGAGGTTAAAGTTTGCGGTTGCTTAAAAACAGCAAGAAATGCCTCACAATTTTCAATTATTTTGAATCGACTTACGGGGTCAAACGCGCTTTTCAGTGAGCTTGTTGCATTTTTATTTGTCCTTAAAATGAAAGTGGTAGAAACTTTCCACAAGTTCAAAAGATACATTACAATTCGTTAACGAAGATTATTTAGATCATTTAATGCAAGCGAATAATAAAAATCGTTATTTATTGAGTAAACGAATTGTTTCTGATAATTGCATTTTAACAGTGCTTTTCGCGTCGAGTTAATCTTCGCAGGATTCGAGAAACCGTCCACTTTTCGCATAGACAACGATTAACTGCTTTCTCCGCAGGAATCTGTAGCAGACTTTTGAACCAGCGTGTTTTTATTACAAAAATTTCCATATTCCCTACTTATTGCTAGAACCGAAATCCACTCGCTAGTCAGTTTTTACTGTAAAATTTATTGTAGACACTGTTAATGTCCAAAAAACGCCTATCAAGCTCAGTTAATTTTCAGAAGCACTGATTCCCTAGACATTTGCTATTCGAGCAACATCACGGCAAACTAACGCTTCTTCCATATAATGAGAGTCATGACGAAACCACCATCAGACAATTTACCCACTGTTAAGCTAGTAGTGGTGGGCGATGGTGGCGTGGGCAAAAGCGCCATCACTATCCAGTTCTTCCAGAAACTTTTCGTTACCGATTACGATCCAACGATCGAGGACAGTTACATGCAACATGTCGAGGTCGATGGGCAATGGTGCATGTTGGATGGTAAAATGCGCAAATATTTTCGGACTTCACATTCACTGTCCATTTGTATCGTTTCAGTGCTGGACACTGCTGGGCAGGAAGAGTTCAGTGCCATGCGGGAACAATACATGCGAAAAGGCGATGGGTTTCTGCTGGTTTATTCGGTGACTGATAAAAACAGCTATCAGAACATTAAGAATTTTAACACGCAAATTTTACGAGTCAAAGATAGGTAGATAGCCGTAGATTTAATAGTGAAGAGATGGTGCATTGTTGGGTGTTTTTCAGAGACACATATCCAATGCTTCTCGTTGCCAATAAAGTGGATTTGGTGCATTTGCGAAAAGTCACTGAGGAACAGGGACGGGATCTCGCTCACAAACTAGAAATCCCTTATATCGAAACCAGCGCTAAAGATCCACCTTTGAATATCGATGCCACTTTTCATGAGGTTTGTTGCAGTCGAAATGTGCAAATGAAAATTCCCCACATTGTTTTCGTTGTTTTTCTAGGTGGTGCGCCTAATTCGAAGTCAGCCCCAGCAGGACAACGACAAACGACAAAAGAACAAGATTCAAGGGTGCGCCAAGTGTTCCATTATATGAGTGTTGATAATCTGTATTTATATCGCTTTAATTACTTGTAAGCCTAAGAATATGACATAAGCGAATGTGTTCAATGTTGTTGCCAGGATTGGTCCTAATTGTTAGCTTTTATTTCCCGGCCAGGAAATGGGGCAAACATTTTTTTAACCGGGATATTCAACTGTGGCTATTCTCCTTCCGTGTTACTCAATTTGCAATATTTGATGTTAGTCTTCCTAGTCCACTGTTTGTCTTTGTACATCGAACTAAATATAATAGGGCATTCATTATCTTCCGTCTGCTCTTACCGAGCTAATAATTGAGAGCAAAGAAGTGCGTCATTTTCTGGCTACCTATGGTTGTAAGAATTTTTTTGATTATCTACCTATTTCATAGGTATGAAGAACCCAACTGGCAGAAAGTGTAGATGATAATTACATTTAATATTCAATGCAGCGAACCTAAGAACCAGATCTGCAAGGCATTTGCTTCAAATCGAGAGTGAACTTTAGTTGTGATATTTATTGTTTTTAAGTATTGTATTAGTCTGGCTCTTAGATTTCCTATGATATAAATATTATAATCATAAATGGAACATCAGTTTTATTTAAATAGGAAACGCTCTCTAGCTTGAACCTTTGGATTTATTGTATTTTACATACGCATATTAACCGGACTGAATTATCGTTATTGGAGAGCAGACAAAGGAAATTGTTCTTATGAACGCAAATTCTTTTACTTTTGCCAAAGTGTCAGCCTAATTTATTAATTAATAGGCCTAATTTTAGACTAGTAATTTGTTGTATTTATCTGTAATAGTTTGCTTGTTTAGTTATTCAGGTCAAAAGCGCTCAATTTAATTTTTGTACTGGATTTAAATGTTAATTAAATATATGTATGACTTTCATTTACGGATTTTATTTCATCCCTCCTTAATAAATAAGTCATTTCTAGAAATTCTCATTTATTTCTCTATTTAATAACACAATGGTTCGTTTCCTCGTTCCACGTTTAGATAAAGTGCTTTAATTGATGAGTAAATATATCAGTATCTGACCTTCCTATAGTTTCAAGCATCAGCTTATTTAAGCCATTTCGTTGATTACCAGTCATGGTTTAATTCAATTTGTTTTCTCGCTAGTAGTAAGTGATGCGTTTATTAAATACTACTCGAAATGTGATGGTAGGTGGTAAGTTTAAATATGCAAAGTGTTTGGTAAGTTGATGTGTTTTTGCTGGAAGTAGGTGATTTGATGATAAAAAGAGTCTATAAATACCTAAAATAGAATAAATTGTGTGAAAACCGCGGGGAATATTTTGCTGCCATGCTTTAAGTGTGAACAATAGATGTTTCGTTGCCACATAATTTGAACTTAAAATTGATTGTTTTTTCTTTAATTGTATTTCAAGTTCTTGTTCAATTTGGACGTGAAAAAATATGGAGACTCTTTTTTGGACGCTCTGTTCGAGCAATTAGTATTTTACGCGTTTTCGCACTTGAATCCTCTATACACATTTTTTTTCTAACATTTTTTGAACTAATTTACCCGGATAAGTTTTAAAGTTTCTTATTTCTATTCCAAAGTTGTTTGATTTGTTTACAGCTTATTATATTATTTGTACCTGGGAACGTGAAAAAAACATAAAAAAATCCCAGATCTCCCAAGAACAATTTTTTTACTATAACATGTACATAGTTTGTAGGATTTTTCCTCTTCCTAAAATTGTGGAGAAAATAACGCATCATTCTGTCGATTTTCGGAAAAACCAAGCACATTTATTAATTGGAAATTTTTTTTAACTTAAATTTCTTTTATTAATTAGGCTGGATCCACATGCAAAGTTTCGATATTTCTGGCGCTGTGGATCCGCGTCCTGAATCAATATGACTTCGTGGTTGGTTTCCTCATTGTTAGCCCTCTAAAATGGAGCGCTTGCGCCCCTATATGGAAACAACAGGAATTTTAGGATCCCCGTCTTCCTGCAAGCCATGCGTTCCCAGTTTATGGACAGTTTTAATGGATATTTATCGGGCTCCTGGATAGAATCCGCAATTCTATTGCAGTCAGTGATAACTTAAAAGTGATTTATAACTAGGAAATACTTACCTGGTAAGTGGGTGCTAGATCGGGTAAGTGCTGCTGGTTTCCCACTGCGTTTCGTTTAGGGCAACAAAGGGTTTACATATAGAGCTGTGTTTACGTTTTAAGGGAATATGTATAACGCTGCGGCGTTTGCGGTTCGGGTGTTTTGAACTGTTTTGAAAGCGCAACTGAAAAAATTTTCAAATATCCACTAAAATGTATCTACATTTATCAAGCGGTATTTGGAAGGAGATCTTTTCGCGTATTTACTTCCTAGTTTTTTTTAAGTAAGCTTTTTAAGTTTAAGTGGTTGCAATAGTTTAAAAAAGATGTTTCCCTGGGGATATATCTGTAAAAATATGGCAAATTTTATTCTGATTTCTCGAAGTTTTACCACTGATTTTTACATTCATTTTGTTTCTCATACACATTGTTTTTTTTATTATTGTTTTAGCTTTTCTTCGTATGTCTTCGGAACAAATTAAACTTTCTAAAATTTCATTACCATCTTTTAAAGTTGAACATTTTCATCATCATTTGAAGATAAAAACCACAACTTTTTGTTGTGTTTTGTATTCACTTAACCGAACTTCTCAATATTGCAACGCGGAGAAAGAGCTTATTTTCGATTTTCTAGCTGATAATGAGAAAAAAATGCGTATGAGTTAAACTTACTTTATTTGCTGAACTCTATTTCGTTTTCCAGTAGTTTTCAGATCGAACGAAATGTTGGACTTAATGTTTTCAAAATTTGCGGACTGGAAGCTGATAATTTCCAAAAACTGTATTTATTAATTTCTTTGCAGCGTTGACTCGAAAATAGGTACTTACGAATATTACATAGAAAACTTTGAGTTCAAACACAATTGAAAAATTTGTACACACACATTTCAACAAAATGCAAACTTTGTTAAACTTTGAAAGCTTTTAATATAATTCTGAACAAAATTTTCAGTTTGGATCTAAAGATTAAAATCAGAATTCAAAAATAAAGTTGTAAAGCCCTTTCTAGAAATGGTTCTAGTTGAAGTTATTGAGTCTCATTTCATATAAAAATAAAAGTCTTCAAAATTCAGGCATTAAGACATCGATAATGAAAACGAAAAGAGATATGAAGAAAAAACAAAAAAAATTAAAAGAATGACGCATATACAGGTTGTCCTATTAGCACGAAAGTTTGATTGCATCCAAACAGTTAGAAATAGAGAAAAATAAGAACTATTTTTTTCTTTAATTTTTCGGTGTGAATCCGGCACAATTTATTTTCAAGTATACAAAGTGTCTCAGAAAATCACTACCAACATCAATTGGACAATTTTTAAACATGCCTAAATTTTGCATAAAATTTGCAATTATCTAATACCAATAGTTGACCGTTTGCGCGCACTGTGGAGCGGCAATTTAATATTTTGGGCGGCAAGTATCTTTTGCCATGGGTAATTTGATTCACGTCTCAGAAGCTAATTGCTGTTTTTTTGGGCTTGTGGAGGAAGAAATAAGCTTTATTTACCTTGCTTGCACGCTTGCACGCTGTTCCGTCGCAGTTCCTACCAATTATGAAAATTTTGTTATTTCTAACAACTAAAACCTTTTTTTTTTAATGCAAACCATCATTTATTTTGACTTGAATGTCCCTATTTGAGAGGCATCAACTTGAACATTGATAATTTATTGAAACTGTTTCTGAGCGGCAAATAACACTTTGAATTTAAATAAAAAGAAATATCATAAATTTTTGTAAGAGCCGAACAAAGGAGCAGGTTGCTATTTATTATGAGAATTTTTTTGGGAAATTTGAGAAATCAAATTAGTGCAAATTTAATGCAGAGTTCCGAAAAGAGGAGAACATTTGGGAATGCTATTTAAAAATCCTAAATGGTTACTGCTTTTATGAGAAACGCTGTACACTTTGTAATAATTTTAACTAATTTTATGTTAAAATTAAGAAAACACAGTTAGAGTTTCTTCAATTATATAAATAATGAGAAAATGTAATTCATCAATTTACAGCGAAGCTCGTTTGTTGTGTTGTTGAATTATTTAACTCTTATGATGTAGGTATCTATATGAACATTTCTGTATAATTTTTTTTTCAATCTACATCTGAATGAACCTAAAATTAGCCACAAATAAAGGTTTTTGACTCGATTAAGAAAGTTGACTATACAACTGTCTGGTTTAAAATGTCTCTCATCTATAAGAAAATTCAGAGAGCTAAAGTTAAGTGATTCGATGGTTAAAAATGCTGTTTCTTCGATAGAAGTAAATTTCTGCGTATTTTTGTTACATTTACTTGCTGTACGCACTTTGAAGTTTTCTTTTCCTTCATTACAATAAAAGAAAATAGACTTGTGGCCCATTAATGCCTGAATAAAAACGAGTTATTTTTGTTTTCTTTAAAAAAGCCTGTATTTTCCATTTTTTTATCCATTTTTAGTATCAAATTCTCACGATTCCATGAGTGTCACATATATCTCTTTTTCAGTTGTTTCTCTTCGAGACACGCAATAATAAAATTCCCTTCTTAACCAACTTGAGCTGGTAAAACAATCGCGTCTTATGTAATTAAGACAGCAATTGAGGCAAATATTTATAAACTTCCCACTTGATGCGCGAAACTATAAAAAAATACATAATAAATAAAAGTCGAAGCAAAAAAACTAGTTTATAAGAAAGCCTATTTTGCATATTCAGCTCTATTAAACGGATACTCTAAATAGACGGACGCTCTATTTAGAGTATCAGCTTGGCAGGATTCCAACAGCATCCATTTAGCGTTTTCAGCAGAAAAAGCAAGTAGCTCTAATTAAGTCTATCTTTCCGCTCCAAATAACCGCTGGATGTACAAAGTGCTTTCCGCTTTATTTGCCGACAGAACATTTCCAGCTTTTTGAGCTTTTGTCGGATTTTGCAGCCAATATTTCGTATTTTCTTTTGCAAAGTGATGTGGACTTCGGTGGTACCTGATGAGGTTCGTGGGGCGGCACCATCCGCCCGATCCAAACACAGTGCCACTTTGCTGGGAGAGCATGTCTACGTTTTGGGGGGAAGAAATGGCAATTTACCATTGAAAGACTTCTGGAAGTACAATCTGGGTAAGTTTGTTCAGCTACGAGTCGCAATTAAGACGGGAGCTGAATGAAGAAAAATTTAATCATCGCCCCTAAATTCGGTATTTGAGAGTTTGGTCACGTTTCTCGGTTACCCGAGGGAGTGATCTCATGCATCATTTGTACTTAATTGCATCTGCAGACATTTCTTTTAGTTAAACCTGCTTTTATTCAATTGTCCTAACAGCTACTGTAAGCTTTGTCCGGAGATAAATTGCCGGACAAATTTTTCGTTTTTCAGATGAATCAATTATTTATTAAATAAAATTTTTAGTCCAATTGAGCATGTTTATGACCAGTGAGTTCATGCAAATTAATCAAAACTTAACTTATTTATTCCATTTAAATCTTCAGAATGCTGAAAAAATTGTTCTTCTCTTAGATACACACGTTATGCAAATTGCGTACGTTTCAGATGGTTTCAATTTTTAGAAGAATGTTAGATTATCTTCTCGACTTTTGTAACGCAATACCTCCGATGCAAAAGGGAGCTTTTTATAAATTTACAAGAAAAAGTTGACAAAACACTTGTAGAAACACGCTAGCATGTAGAGCTTCAGAGTCAAATTGTTGAAACGTAATTTAGTAGCAATAATTTATCTGATTGGGGTCACATGGCCAATGCCGGAAAAAATTAGTATATACACAGTTTGCTTTGGATGAATTTTAGGGAGCAACTTCAGGTGTAAATGTAAATTTTCCAAAATTTTGCTTGTGGGGATATTTGTAAAGTCTGAGAAATGGATCCCTGTTCAAACCTTTCCGAGTTACTAATTTGCCATTTTCTATCAGAAACTATCGATTAGCATGAACAAGCAATAAAACTAGCTGATTATTTCCATATCGATGTAAACCTTTTGGCAATATTGGCCCTGTTATGTCCACTTTCACCGGGTTTAGTAGCTTGTCGATATCCAATTCCGATAACCAACCCTCGCTTGTCTCCATGACTCGGCGAAGGTGGGAACTATTATCTGATTCCATGTTTTGCTCCCTTTAGGGAGAAGAGGGAATCTGTCTTACCGAATTAAATATTGAAAGCCGCTCAGGGAGTGTGGTAACAGGTGTAATGGAGACAATGGGGATGGCATTAAGCGTTGCACTTTGCCACTTTCTGGATTTATACCTTAATTTATGATGAATTTGTCTTACATCCCCTCACACTATAACGTTAAAAGGTTTTCAATACGCTCTCTTTTTCAGTGTCTGGAAATTGGCAGCAACTGAAACCCTCAGGCGATCTGCTGCCTTGTTTGCAAGAGCACACAGCTGTTGCGTACAAAGACAATATTTTCGTGTTTGGAGGTGAAGTCAGCTTTTCATCCAGCACTGAGACGCCTTTATGGGTGTACGACGTACGAGACAATAGCTGGAGGAAAGTTAAAACAAAAAAAGGTGCGTGTTTTCAGGAATATTTCAGCCCCAACTATCCGGCACATGTTGGTACCAAACCGTTCAACAAAGCCCATCATCTAAGGCGTACATACTCAATTTATTAGCGGAACAATCAATCAATTGAAAAGTAATTTTATGCTCTTTGTCGAAAGCTAACAAAGAAGGTTTTTCAATTGCGAGTTCCTTTGTGTTGTCGATTCAAAGACTTAATGAAACTTTGCGTCCTTCCAGGAGTCGCCACTCCAAAAGGCCGACGTGGACACACAGCTCTGGTCCATAATGGAGCCATGCTGATTTATGGAGGATATCAAGATTTACGCGGCTCTTGTGGAGAGCTATGGGCATTTCATTTCGGTAAATTAAACCACTTTTCATCATTAACAAACGGAATAGAACGTTATCCTGAACTCGTTCGGGAAACGTCTATTAACGCCAGTATCCATAAGTCTTCAGGAACAATTACTGAATAAAAATAGACTTCATATAGAGCTGGTAAATATTGACCATCGATTATTTCTTGCTGTTTACAGACACGGAATCGTGGCATTTAGTTTCGGCAGCACCAAGTAAACCGAGTGATCAATTTCCATCCCCCAGACACAAACATTCGGCGGTTGTTCATGGGGAGGCGATGTGGATTTATGGAGGTTTGTTATTTTTTTAATCTTTAAGTAAATGTTTTTCTTCCCAATTTTCTCAAGTGTTTTCATTATTTAAGGTCCGTTTCCATTACATTTTTGCCTCGTGGATAGAAGACAAGCACACCAATTTACTTAGCCGAAAGTGTGGCGAATAAATTAATTTTTTTGATTGTGATGTGGATTTTTCCTGCTTTTTCTTACTCTGGCATTTTTCTGCTTGTTTTAGGGGTCCCAAATTTAAAACCCCAAAAAATTGCAGACTATGTGTGTGTTTCTGAAAGTCAAATGAAATGTTTCATCCAGTTTTCATTCTCCAGGTATGAATGATCTGCACTCACGTGGCGACTTATGGAAATGGGATTTTTACACAAAATTCTGGACGAATATCAAAACGAAATTGAATCCAGGCCCGCTGCACAGTCATGCCTGTTGCAAATTGCCATCATCCATGATTATTTTTGGAGGCGAAAGGAACGGCCAAAGTTCGAACGATTTATGGAAATTCAATTTCGGTGAGCATCGATTGCTGCAAGCTTCGTCTGATTTGTCTCAGATTTTACAACACTTTCGATGTTTTGCAGACGTGGAATCTTGGGAGAAAATTTCCATAGCAGGACTGAAACCACGGCCGCGATCAGAAAGTCGGGCTTTTATCGTTTCTGAGCTGCTGTTGAAAGGAGCTTCAAAAATGTCCCTTGAAGCAAAATCGGTCAGGATTCGGGCTAGAACCTGCACATCTGCTGATCGAGGCAACAGACACTCTTCATATCTTCCAAACAATCGGGTTGCTCCTTGCGAAAAAACCTACATTTTTGAACCCACGCAAGTGAATTACAATGATGGCAAGTAATCCTTTAATCATGGTTTATAGTGATACATTTTTGCGTTTTTTTATGCATTTCTTGTGCATATGCAGGTAGCAATTTGGCTCAGCAATACTCCGAACCCCACCGATCTTCCAAAGGCAGCTTTCTACAGGAAATTTCAAAACTTTCCCAAATAAACCTATCCAGAATTAACAGCAAATGCAACTATACGATACTTTCGAAAGGAAATACTACTGATAGCACTGAAAGTTTGCTGAGACAGCGCACGAGTCCTCAACAAGATATTAACACTTGCCTGATCGACTCTGATGTGTCTTCAACACCATCCAGAGGTCAGTAAAAAAGTCAAAACAAAATTAGTTCAAATAATTTACACTAACAACATGATTCGGTACAGAGATCTAGCTTAAGTTATCTGCACTCAGGTCTTGCCTGTTTTATTAGATATATACGAATAGGTAAATTTTACGGATCTAAGTGGCTTGCTTCTAAGCATCAACTCTTTACATTAAAAACTGCTTGAAGCCCTAGAATTATCTGAGCAATTGATTCATAAGTAACTATATCCAGTTGCTTGTTGTTTTAAACCATTTCGTGCTTACAGTTGTTTCATCTTTGATCATTCAACTGTCTGAAATTTTGCTTTCGCTCGTTCTTGTCTGGCAGTTCATCAATAAAATATGTCTTTATTATTGATATTCTTTAAATCAATCGAGAGTTTTACACTTGATTAGTCATTGGACTCATTTACACATTCATTCAATTTCCCTAAGCATTGAAAGGACTCATCTTTTTAATGCTTCCGCCTATGCAAGTAGAATTATGGTTTTAAACAGTGCATGAAATTAGTATACTTTGAACACTTAAAATTTGGGCTTCTTGGGACACTTTATTTTAATTTTCCTCCAAGCCTAACTGATAATCCACCTGATAACTGATGAAACCTTCATGCACTTTTACCCGGCATTTTAAATGTTCGTTAAAAATCTGGTTAAACTTTCATAATTTCGATTAATTTTGATGTCTGCTAAACGCTTGTGAAGAAACCAAATACTTTTGATAAAGAAAACCAAAATCCTCTGAAGAAGACGTTCCCCGCAAAAAAATCAGCAAAAAGCAAGGTTTTAAATAAAATTGACCCAAACTAACCCAAACGCTTTAACGCAATAACAATTTACATTTTGGTTTTCTCCATAAAAACTGAAGTCCTCGTAAGTCTACTATTTTCTAACACTTTGACCAACATTGAGACTATCGGGAATACCTAAATGGACTCGTTTTTATAGGAACAATGGTAAAATCAAAATCAGCTTACGTAATCAAAAAAAAGTACGCAGACAGTTCAACATCTTCAGACGAAGAAGTGAAGGAAACAACGCGGAAAAAACGAGTAGAATTCGACAGCATCGTGAAAAAGATTCCTCGAGATCCAATTTCCGTGCCAAACTTCAGTGTTCTCAATTTAACCACTCCAGTATTAACGCCTGTTGAGGCCTCAAAGCTCGTCTATCTCACAGACGAAGAGACGGACATTGAGCTGAAAGTTGCCAATCACCACTCTATAACTGAGGTAAATAAAAATGTCGTTTACTTTGTCTTCCAATTGTTCCAATCGAAAATTATTTAAAATGTAGGTCCAACCTGCCGAAGAGTTTGATGACTGCGAAAACATCCAGCTGCAGCCGCTCAAAAGAGGCGACAGTTATAGCTCGCATTTAGGATACGCTGATAACCCACTGTACCATGAAACCATCAAGGAAAAATCGCAGGAAAATGTCTCCTCAACGTCGGATTATTGCAGTATTGAAACCGTCAATCGGCTATCTTCGGCTAGTAGCTATAGCGTTAAAACCAACACTCCTCAGGAAGAAACACTCAAGACCAAAGACAATATTGTATGTTGCAGCAAAATTTCAATCCCCCAACTAAACTAAATCAAAATATTTCAGAAGGACGGAATGTTTGGCTTTTGCAACCCGAACTACTTGAGCTCAACAGTAAAATCCCTGCTAACCAATGAGGAGAAAATATCAGTTTCCAAAATGCTCGAGCGAAATCAGCCAGAGCAGCAGGATTCCGAAGGAGAAGTTCTGGAACTATCGAGCTTCAATGGCCCTTTGGATAGGAACACAAAAGTCGTCTACAGGCATTCGTGCCGATCGATCAGGCCCTGGAACTTGCCTCTTAACAAAAACCTCAAAGGCAATTCGTGCGAAGGTCGGGCTCAAAGTGCCAGCAGAGCCGAGCGAAAGCAGGTCGAGATTAAGCCAGCGATGAAGGAAATAGAGCGGGTAGATCCATTTCTTCCTCTATACGTCTACGTGGTAGGCGGGAAGGAGCAGGGCCATGTAACGGTGTTTCAACGGCCAATTTCCATATGGCGGTTGAAGCTTTTTTAATCAAATTGTATCCAGTTCCGTCAGTTCAAAGCAACGTGCCAATAATGTTGTAGATAAATATAAAACATTTTTTAATTCTTTTCGAATCCAGAAAATACTCTCAACCTTCGCCAACTTTAAACGACCTTTATTTTTCAAATGCGGCTGTGTCAGTAACTGGTCCAGAATTGCTGATTTTGGGACTTGCTCAAATATAAATCTTGGTTTTGCACACACTTTTTGTCAAATTTTTATGATTTTTTGAAATGTAAAATGAAAGTGTACTTACTGACGCAGTAAAATTTGATGAAAAAATGAAAATTTGGTCACTCTGTATAGGAAGTGATTAGTGATGAATACATAAGCACACTGTATAGCAGAAACAAATTAAAATCTAACAGTATTACGGTACAGGGTAAGTCCAAACAATGGCTAATCTCTAATCTAAAATCCTTTTTCATAAACCTACGCTTATGTTTGGATTCTACTTAGAACTACTACTTAAAACTTAAAGTTTTATCATTGACAAAAATGGATGAAAATGGACAGAATAAACTACTGGCCTCCAGATCACCAGATCTATACCCATTGAATTTGATAAACATGGTTTTCCCACCTGGCAAGTAATAGGGATTAAACCATAGTTTAACAAATTGATGGGAAATTTGCCATTGTTCGGAAATATTAGGGGGCATCGTTCATTTCCTTACCCTGTATAGGCCCCAACAATATAAGACTAAAGGTAGGTAGTTCATATTTTTCTAGGTAGTCAAACTTGAAGAGTTTTAGAGGACTTTTTTAGCATTAAAAGCAACATTCGTCCAAATTCCGTTCATTAATGTAAACGATCGTAATAAAGTTTTACTGTGTAAAATTTAATGTAAGTAGTAAGATATAGAGTGCAATTATGAATGTGCAAATCAAAATATTCGACGGCGAGTAGGATGATGAAGAATTTACACGTATTACATGCAGCAAAAAGTGAAAACCAACAGGATTTTACAAGATTGTAAATTGAAGGTTTGAATGAATTTTACAAACAGACAATTTTACAGACGTTCATTATTCTTGTGCAATAACAACATATCATTTACTTACCAATTTTGTTAATATTTCTTGCGTGAGTCGTTATTATGTTGCTGATGTTTAGGTTCCGCAGGAATGTTATCATAGCTTGTTAAATCCGTTACAGTGTTTTGTTAGTTTCGTTATTGTTAATTGCCGTCTCAAATGTTAATTAGTTAATTTTTTATTTTAATATTCCCACTAAATTATTTTAGTAATTTTCAATCATATATTCTGTTATAAAATGTTTGGACTCTTACTTGAAGTTCAATGCACATGATTAAGGTGATATATTTTTGTTCTAGACCGTAACAAAATGTTTATTTTTTTAAACCAGTAGAAATGTGAATGTTTTTCTGTATTTACTAATAAAGATCTCGCATACTTATGTAGAAATAAAGTTTCAGTGCAAAGTGGCTTGAAGTTTTTTTGTACAGGAAACAGCCCACAAAAGAATCAATTGAAACACATTAGAATTATAAATTTATTTCGTACAGAAGAAAAAATTACGGTCGGGATACAGAAAAACAAGGTAAAACACAATACGTTTATTTAACTTGAAGTTTTGCCAGAAGTCAATTCACTATAGTTTCTTGTACAATTGATGATGAAGAACATTAATTCGGAAATATTAGCCACATTTGGAAAAATGTTTGCTTCAATTAAATGATTTTACGGAGTTTGATTCCATTTTTAATGGTTTTAACGATTATTTCTTAATAACTATATATTTGTATAAAATATATACGCTCTTAAACTGGTTAGCGATTATTACAGAATTTCTGAAATTGGGCTCGATGTTCAGAAATTCCAGAATTTATCAAATTGAACACCATCAATTGACTATCAACATTTTTACACAGTTTTCTAGCTACTAATTAGTATAACATATGTTACATTCGTTTGTACAATACCTTACTTTTTTCGGATATGTCTAAAAATATTAATACATTGAACATTACATTCAATACATAGAGTGTTTAATTGAATATTCCTGAGCAGCAAATGATATTGGGTAATTGAAAATTACATTATATTTATGTATATTTATTACAATAATATTTTAAAACTGCAAAAAACGTTAAACATTACCTTTTTAACCTGAGGTTTAAATCCTTATGTCCTCTTGCTCGCAGGTGCGTAAAAAAGATGCATTCTGAAAAAAATAGAAATTACACTTTCTAGGTAACTAATCAGCTAAGCTAAGCGAAAATACGTGAAAAATATTACAAAAACTAAAAAGTTACGTTAAAACTTGAAATTGGCTTTTCAGTGAAATTTTGGCTGCAAGCCAGATAATTACACAACTTCTTCTAAAGTTTTTGTACAGGAATTTGTGCCAATTCGCTCTAAATTATAGAGGCGCTAGTTATAAATGAAACTAAATATCCACAGTGGCAGCTGATGCAAAAACATTAAAAAGTTAAAATATATGTAATCTCATGACAGTATTTTTAAACCAAAAACCATACACCTTGGCATTGGCAATATATTTGTAATAAATAGCAATTTTACTAGGTTTCTCTGGCCATTAGCCACTGAGCGTGACAATATTTCAAAGAATATTAGCCAGCAATGCATTCCAAATGCGTCAATTTTGAACATATTCATGAAACGCTAAAAATAAAATTGCCAATATGAAAAATCGGATTTCTATATGAATAAAATATCAAATGACCCCGTGATGCAAAATAGTGCAATCGAGAGTTTGACCCATTTAATGCTTTAGGAAATTATTCATTTTCACCCTTCATGATTAATCGAAAGAGCGAAAAATTGTGATTCAAAAGGCGGAAAATTCTTGCCAGCTTTCATTTATTCAAACGCAGATGTTGATGTCCGCTTAGAATGCGTAACATTTAATGGCCAACGACTCTACGCACTTGGAAGTGATTTATTAGATCGCATTTCTTGTCACTTTTTATTTCGCAGGCAGTTTCGTTCTAAGTGTTCCGTTTTATGGTCCCAATTTACAATTTTATTCCTTTCATTTAGCAGGACTGTCATTAAACCTTAACTTTGTGTCGAACGTTGCGTTAAAGCACAGTCTTTGCGTCCATAAATTTACTTTTGTCTTTATAATTTTTTGGCTGTTAAAGAAGCTGCTTTGAACGAACAAATAAATAAAACAGAGATAATTTTGCCCAAGCAAATTGGGGTCGCAAAGCCACTTGCGTTTCACATTTTTAACACTGTATTTAGTATCTGGATGGTTTTATATTTCCAGGCTTTTATTTATTCCAATGTTTAAATTGTTGTGGGCCTATAAAAGATGCCCCGTTTTCCCTTTTACCACTGAAATATTCGAAGCGTAGGAGATATATTTAAAATTCAGAAGAACTCTCACTTTTATATGCTTAGCTTTTGTTGGACGTGGGCTTAATTCTGGTGTCTTCTTCAGTTAACACTCATTGGACACTTACACATGAATTTTCCATATTTTTACATTCAATCAATAAATGTCTCTAGATTTTTTCTTAAATCAGAATAGCTGACTTTTGTGGAATTTTGCTTGCTTAACTTTGACAGGATATATTTGTATGTATTTTTGAAATAAATTATATTGTTTTAAAATATTTATGTGATAATAATAAATTAAAAATACACAATTAATAAAATTAACAGAATAAAACCAAGTATTTGATTGTATCGAATGTCTTTTAGTATTGATGTCTCAGTAGAATTTCAAGTTCATAACTATTATAAAAAACTGAAAATCCCAAAATTTAAGATGCAGTCAAGCAACCATAAAAGTTTTAGGAGACTCAACATCAGAATTATGAAAATGGGGAAACACCGTTTTCAAAGGAAGCTGTTGAGATACAAACGAATATTTATTACTTTAATGAATGACTTGAATTTACATTCTCCAAAAAGGAAATTTTAGATAAATTTTCAGTTCATTTTAGCATTTAAATCATATCAGCTGCAATTTGCTTTTTTTTAGCCAAAAAGGAAAATATCGCAAGCTTTTATCTAGAATTCAAGAATCTCCTTAAATTTTGTCTTGTAATGTAGTTTATTTTAGGTGTAAACGTAAACCAAACTTGAATTATTTATATGAATTATTAATTTAAAATTTGTTAAGTCTCTGCATATTAAGAAAACCTAGAGGAGTAATTAAATATTTTTTTAAAACATACAGAGTGTTGTTTAAACAAACTGTGTTAATCTGCTGAGTACTTTTCACGTAATTTAATAATTATTGGATTTATTGGATCATGTTTAATTATTGCTGTGCATCAAGTGAGGCTTAAGAGCCCCTAAAACCGAAACCTAATTATTATTTCGGCACTAACCTATTTGGTCGCATTAGCAAAAGGCCTTTAAAATTGAAGGTAAACCGAATTTTAATTGATTAGCATCGTTCAAGAGAGACGCAAGTGATAAAATAGGTATAAGTGAAAATAGATGATGTTTTCATAAACATTTTGTCGGTGGAAATCAATATATTAATTTGCAATTTGGAACATTTATATCAAGAGCAAAGTCTCAACTTTTAAGAATAAGTGTGTTTGTATCTAATACAAGACACTGGATTTCTTCAAAGTGGTTAGCTTTGAGTCAGTTGGTTTTTTATGGTATTAAGTGCTTAGATGTTTAATTAATACTTTAGCACAAAATAAATAATTTAAACATTTATTTTTACCTTCAAATTAACAATAAAACGAACACAGTGTTTCACATTTTTGACGAATTCTGCAAGATGCAAAACGCTTCAAAGAAAGTCGTCACGAAATAAAAAATAGTCACTTAACAAATCAGCAGCTTTTGAAAATTTCCAATAGTTAATTTTGGTTAAGTTCAATTTTGCCGACGAATTCATCATTCTGTCATCTAATGTTCTGCTTGCGTCCAAAATGCCCGAATTTCCTCCATATTTTGCAATTTGTAAATTCGCATTCAAAAGAAATCGGCATAAATTGAATATTAAATATGCTTTCACACTTTTATCCGAACCGAATGGGTCCGTTGAACCGCATTGGTAAAAGATAAAATTGGTTTTCCCCACGATAATTTTCACCCATTTTCATATAGACTTTGTAGCCTTAGGAGCCTAACATTTCATTTTTATGTTGTCATAACTGGACAGTTAGGAGAACTCAAACAGAAGATTGCAAATAAATTGCTTTTTTCGCTTGTCTGGGTTTTGTCGCTGGGTCGTGAGAACTGGAGAATTGCCCACTAAGAAAACTGAAAATAAAACGAAAAGAATTGAATTAAATTCAAGTGGTGTTCGGGGAATTTTAAAGCGGAATTTGCTTTTTTGCTGAAAAGCTAATGAAACGTCGTCCAAAATCAGCGCGTTTTCTGAAATACGACTTACTAACTGTGTATTCTCTCATCTCCGTTCTCATCCTCCGGCGAAAATTTTTTTGGAAAAAATTCTGTCGACACACCGAGCAAACTTTGAGCGAAAGCGTTGACTTACCTCATAAAAATCGTATAAATCACAACGATAACAGCAAATGACCAAAGTTCCAGTTGTTCTATACAGCTGATATTTGAGTCTTCTCTCCCGTTTTGTCGATGTTGGCATACTGTGAGCTGGGAGCAAATTGGTTCATTATCGGCAGCAGGAATATCTCTTTGAATGTGATCCTGAACTGTCTAGACATGGTGCAATACAGGATAAAGTTAATCCCGGAATTGGTCAAAGCAATGATATCCATTACGTCTCCTGGAAACATAGAATTATTACAAGGTAAGTTGGTAAGCAAGGTTCGAACTATAAAATTATCAATCCTCTGATGGTTTCGACCTTTTGCCTGAATCCTACTCAGCAACCGGGAAAGTTGATACTGGCCGTTGAGAATTATGAGCGCTATTATCGGTAATTGGGTCCCTAACAGCCAAAGTATAAAAGCAAAATCCTGCAGGTGCATCGTACCCCAGTAAGTGCTAGGAAATGTAATCCCAAAGGATTCCGTTCGAAAAACTTTCGACTTATTTAGGCGTAAGGAAGTTTAGCGCTGAAATAAGTTTAAAAAGAGCGTGGAAAGGTTCGGAAATAAGGCTTAAAGCGAACTTACATCAATGGCGATTGTTTTTAGTTGAATAATTACCAGGTCGGCCCGGAAGGGCTCTTGTTCAGCGGAAGTCAGTTACAAGAAAAACCCTTAAAAAGAGGGATGCTTCTGCAAATTTTATGCAAAAAGCCGGAGTTTATTTTGCCCGGAATTTGTTTGTTTTCGGGAAAATAATGTGAAAATCGTTGCTGGCAATATCTTCAAATGTAAATTTGTTGGCAAAACAAACTTCTAATGGATAATATTCCGTTCGTTTCCATTTTAGACACGCGGCAATCATTGCTACAACTAACTGGGTAAATTTCTGTACTTAATTGAGTTCATTTATTCTCATTTTCCAGTTCAGTGTAATGGCAAAATATAATCCAACGTACAAAACGAGATAATTGAGTTAATCGAAAACATTTAATAAAAACTGCACCTACTGCTTATCCGCCTCAGCAGGTCCTACAGCCAAAACAGCCCAGTTATCTGTAAAATAACCTTTTTGAACTTACACAAGCTTTTGTTAAAAATATCAGATTCACCAGCAGGATGGCAATAAATTGCAAATGCCGTCAGGGTAAAACTGATTTATTTCGCATTCAGAAACCCACTATAAATAGAGTAGTATATGTATGCAAGTCCGGCCCTACTGTAAATTTTCCTATTAGGCATTAACTCTAATCACTCTAAATCCCCTTTTTACATGTTCCTGACTGAAGAATTGTTCAGAAATACCTGCTTTTTCTAACATTTATTTACTGGAACATCAAAGTTCGAAAATCCTTCAGTTTCTCCGATATTCTTACTAAACCTTCAACAAGCAAAACATCGTTTTATCTGACCCAGATGGCACAAAAGAAAGTACTATCTAAAATATTATGACGTTTTTTGCCCATACTTTTTTTATTTTCCCCATATTGTCTTCTCAATATAAAATATTTATTATGAAAAAGGCTGTGGAAAAGAAATGCTAAATCTTTCCGTTCCACAATATGAAAGCTAATCGAGTCTTCGAATCGAAGCTAACAATACATATTTCGATATTTTAGCTTATATAAAAGAAAACATTTCATAATAACACTGACTGTCTGAATATTCGCAATTCGAAATGTCGTCAACTTGAGGTTTAATTTAATTTCGTCTATCAGCGGAAATTTTCTGATTGCAATTCGCTTCTTTTAGCTCACCTGATGTGTTTATTCATTGAATATAACAATTGTGGAATTTTGAGGAGTTTTAATGGATAATTAAAATAAAGTTCTAAATACTTAGTAGACGCCAATTTTAGAATGTAAGAGTTTTTATGCAAAAAGCAATTTTTGAATTTTGCTGAAAATGTTCGCACTGATATCTCGGGAATAAATTTACCACTTACATATAATTAATGAACAAATTTATCTAATAAAACATCATTTGGAAAAAATTGGGAATTTTTACAACAAAAACTATATTTTATCGATTTTTTGGATTTGAGCCGTTTTGGCAGAACGTCTATTTTAAATATCGTATTTACAAAATAAAGTATCACTTGAAAACTCCTGTTTTTATGGAAAAAATTTTCACGAAAACTAACAGTTTTACGCCGTTTTGGCAAAACTGCAAAGCTGACTGAAACATGGCGCCACATATCTCAAAAACTATTTGAGGTAGAGAGTCCGTATTTCCATCACTGGATAGAAAATTAAAAACCCAATTAAGCAAATAAAACCCGGAGAACGAAACCGTGACAGTTTTGGAACAAGGGAAATTATTTGAAAGTTACACCAAAAGGAATAAATCAAGCATGAGGTCAATTTTGCGTTCATATCTTAGGAGCAAATTGAGCTGGCGCTCTCTGTCCCAAACCATTAGAGCAAACACTAAATAATACTTTGATGGGCTGAAGTAAAATATTTGAACTATTCACAGATAAAGCCGAAAGTTAAAGATCAGTTTTAGTTTTACGCCGTTTTGGCAAAACTGCAAAATCTGCTCAAACATGATGTTGCTTTTTCGTCATATCTTAAGAAACATTAGAGTTACACCGCTCGTTTTTTCACCAATATATGGAGAATTAAACACAAGTGAAAGAGTGAGGAGATAGTGGTAGTTTACACGCAACAAACAAAATTTATAAAATATAAATAACTTTGCAAGATAATGATGCTTTAATTTCAAACATGACGCCACCTTTTTGCCCATATATTGGGAGAAAATTAAACTAGCGCGCTATTTTCTGCACCTGTATTGAGGTTTGAGGATTGTATGTAAGCAAAATTGGACTGATATCTAAAATGGCCAGATTTTTTCGCACATAACTCCAGAATTTTTTTCATATGAACGGAAGAAAATTGGCCAGCGCACTCTCTTTTACACCATTTGGTAGAGAATAAAACCGTACATCTTGCAAGTGAAACCTCGGCAATTTTTGAACAAAAATACCTAATTTCGACGAAAATTTAGCTCGTTTGGAGCGCGGTTGTTGGCAAATGTTTCCAATAAATCAGAAAATTGCCGCAAAAATTATTTAACTAAGAATTGGTGCCAATTTTATTACATTGCTTGCGAATAGTAATACAATAAAGGTAATATAAAGAAATCAGGCCCGTTTTTTCTAAAATTGATGGTGTAATTTCCAAATCTAATCCTTTTCACTTTAATAACAGGAAAATTATGGTTTTCTTTGTCCATAAAAAGGACTTAATTAAATATGAATCTTTAACCTTGTTCGCATTCAGTTAAATCGCTTTTGGGCCTGTCGGCATGGAGGTTAAATTTTTGAAAGATAAATTCACCGACGATACAACCCGCTATGTTAAGTCACGTTTTACTTTAACCCTTTAATTTTCCTTTTAATTTAAATGAGAAGCTGTTGAGCATTTTATCGAGATCCCGGCTAAATGTTATTTCCGTGATTTGACTGCGGTTTAACGTACATTATTAAGCCAAGCCTGTTAATTTGAGGCAATTAGCAAGAAAACCCAACATTTTAGGAAAATGAACGCTAAAACTGTTCTTTTATTCGTCTTTGTATAGTTCTTTTTTGCCAATTTCTCTTTCAATACTTTATATTTTATTAGTAATTTGACCTAGTTTTAATACATATAAACGCTAATAAACAATGCGGCACAATATTTTCAAATAAATCACTCAATTGCAAAATTGCCTAATGTGCCAACCTCAGAGTCTGTTATTAGAGTCCATTTGTAACCGGCTGGCGTTTTTGATCGGTTGAGCATGAAAAATGGGCATTAGAGTTCCTGCAAGTTAGAAAATTGAGATTTTCTTCAGACAACGAACTGCATGTCGTGTTCAGTAAAGGTATTTATTCCTTTAAGACTGGTGTCTACAAATTGAAGCTCCATTGAAAAGCCTTAACAAATATTTGGCATGAGCTTAAGCAGAAATTATTGTAAATTTAAAACAACTATGATTCTGATGATTCTTACAATTTCTAGTTGGCAATCTAAATTCCTCTAAGTATTAATAAATTGCACAAATCCCGTTCAGGGATCGAATATAATAATTAATTTTATAATTGGTTGGAAATTAACATCGGAAACAATTTATTTTAATCAGGAATTTTAATTTTAATCTCCAAACATTGACTGCTCGATGCTGCTCAAGTTTCTTTCATCTTTGTTCTCTATTAAATATCGCTCTTAAATCTCGGCAAATGCAATGAATACAAAGACCATTATTATTATTAATCATGGGAACAATAGACGCGAAAAACTCGCCGGAAAGCTGCAAATTTATTGTCCTGGAAAATCTGCTCGTTGACCTGAAAATGTTCTAAATGACGAAAAAATACAATATTTTCCCTTTTCGTTGAAGCGATGTGTAAAAGCTAAAGGTCAGGAAAAATCTTTTGAGTAGGTGACCATCAACGAGACCGTAATGAAGGTTGAGTTATTGAAATAGATAAAAACATAATTTACTTTTATTACAAACTGGCGATCCTGCGGATTACACAAAAAGGGCAAGATGGGGCATAAAAGGGATTCTGTGAAGCTTATCGGGCCGAAGGTTGCTAAACAATGGCTGAAGAACTGGATAGTCCTAGTTGGACTGCTACTTATAAAGAAAATATAAATTAGTTAATAAAAATAAAAACTTGCGTTGGCATTCGAATTTTTTGTGCTGCACTTATTTTGTGAAAAAAGCATTTGAAGACTTGGTCCTTTTTCCACAGTCTACAGGAAAAGTTGCCTGTAATAAAATCATGTAATTTTAAAACTGCTTTTGGAAAAGTTTTCATTAATTGCGGTTTCCAATCCCTTGAGATTCGCCCTGGCGAATTTACTGAATCTGTGCATAGAAGAATAAAAATGGAATTTTCACATTTTTATTTCACAGGATTTGTTTAAAGTAACTTGATCAGACTCGTGTTTCTGTTCCAGCTTCCAGCATTTTTCTCCAAAAGGATCCTTTGAGGATTTCGCTTTCAGAAATATCTAGCCTAGTTTCGGTGTCGGTATACAATTTCCCAAACTCTCCCTTTTGGAAATTCAATCTTCTTCACGCCCTATTTCGTTTAAGGCGATAAACAGTTTTCGTTTAAAAAATTACCGAAAGGATGGCAAGCCTGACGTGAAACACATCCTTAACGGTTCAATTGGGAAAGCCAAACTTAGTTTAGGGCAAGCCATTTAGCTGATGGAAAAAATCTTTTAGAGCTTGGCTG